AATTATCTTCCCATTGCTATTTTCTGATAGAGGGTGGTCCATTCTCATAATTTAAAAGTAAATTAAACACCTTTCAGTAGATTGAATTTTTACCTATGTGTCCCATTTTTGTTAGCCAGTGTTGTGTCTTTACACAAAAACAGAACCATTCAATCTTTTCACCCAAATCTTGACGCATAATGTCGGAGACTGATTTCAGATCATTCCTAAAAAATTCAACCCAAGTGATCAATTTTTACTCATCCAAGTGTAGGAAAATGATAGGAAATCATGTAGCTGTACAGTACTATGGCGAAACCCTAAATACACCTTTTTCACTGTAAAAACAGAACTGTTAAATCTTTTCACCCAAATCTTGACGCATGATGTTGGAGACTGATTTCAGATCATTCCTAAAAAATTCAACCCAAGTGATCAATTTTTACTCATCCAAGTGTAGGAAAATGATAGGAAATCATGTAGCTGTACAGTACTATGGCGAAACCCTAAATACACCTTTTTTCACCGGAAAAACAGAACCGTTCAATCTTTTCACCCAAATCTTGACGCATGATATCGGAGACTGATTTCAGATCATTCCTGAAAAATTAAACCCAAGTGATCAATTTTTACTCATCCAAGTGTAGGAAAATGATAGGAAATCATGTAGCTGTACAGTACTATGGCGAAACCCTAAAAACACTTTTTTCACTGTTAAAAACAGAACCATTCAATCTTTTCACCCAAATCTTGACGCATGATAACGGAAACTGATTTCAGGTCATTCCTGAAAATTTCAACAAAGAAGTTAAAATCTTACTCATCCAAGTGTAGGAAAATGATAGGAAATCATGTAGCTGCATAGTACTATGGCAAAACCCTAAATTCATCTTTTTCAACCTAAATAACAGAATCTTGATTCATGTCGGAGACTGATTTCAGATCATTCCTGAAAATGTCAATACAAATCATCAACATTTAAACACTTCACTGGACAAAAATGATAAAAATCATCTGCAGTTGTTTTGTATGGAGCTCCATAAATGCCATCCGACTTTTTGACATCCTTATTTTGTTATTGGATGACTACATAAAACAGACAAAATGTAGACATACAGAGACTAAGATAAGTTATTACATGATGAAAACATCCAGAAACATTTAATCATGGGACTGTAATATCGTACAAGTGAAATGATTAGATTATCTGCCAGTAAGATGGCACCCCTAGAGCACTGTCGAATTATCATGGCCAAACCCCAAACACTGGACAGTTAAATCTTTTGACCCCAAACTTCAAGCATGATATCAAAGACCGATTTCATGCTAGTTCTGAACATTTCAACACAAATGGGCAATTTTACAGATCTAGGTATAGGAAAATGATGGAAAAGATTC